CTAGCGCTATCTCAGACTGAGTGTCAACCTGCAGATCTTAGTTTCCCATTATTTGTAAATTGGTAGGATCATGATGTTATCTTCCCCATCTACCTCAAAGGACTTTTAGGAGAGGAGCAAAGATGATTATGAATGTAAAAGTGCTTTGAAAATTGGGTGTTTTTTCCCTTAAATCTGGCTATTACTTATTATTAAGAAGATACTCACATATGTGTAGCTACCAAAAAGAGGAACAGTTGTTTAGAAGGGTACATTTCAAACTGATAAGTGGATATGCCTCCCAGGGGGACTGAGATCTGGGGCCAAACCCTTACCTTTATCTGCACTGTTTCAATATTTTTTTCTTTTAAGATTTAATTTATTTATTTGATCGAGAAAGAGAGAGAGAGCCAGAGAGCACAAGCTGGGGAGAATAGCAGAGGGAGAGGGAGAAGCAGGCTTCCCGCTGAGCAGAGAGCCTGATGTGGGGCTCCAGCCCAGGCCCCTAGGATCATGACCTGAGCTGAAGGCAGATGCTTAATCTTCTGAGCCACCCAGGCTCCCCTGCATTGTTTCAGTCTTTCAGGAGAATCTATTCATATGTTACTTGGTAAATTTTTAATTTGTAAAAGCAAATGCAATCACTAACAAAATTAACACTCGGGTTTTGAGGTTTTTTTTTAAGAACCACCTGGGGGTTGTTCAACTGTGGCTGTCCAGGTCTCATAGACTTAATTGACCAAAATCTCTGAGTGGACAGGAATAAATAAGTTCAGACCATTTGTATTTTAACAAATTCAAGTGAGTCTATGACTTGATTATTGCTTCTTATGCTATGTTATCATTAATTCTCTTATTAATTCTCTAATACAATAATATTCTTATACTCTAATTTTCTAATACTAACTCCTACACAAAGACATAGAGGAATACCATGTACATCCACTTACTATATGCCAGTCACTACTCTGAGCACTTGACATATATTATCTCACTTAATCCTTACAACCCTATAAGTACTGTTAACACTGCCCTCCCTTCGCCCTTGTTTTACAGATGAAATTATTAAAATACAAAAAGATTATTTAATAGGCCCATGGTCCAAAGTCACAGGGCTAGTAAGGAGCAGAGCCAGAATGTACAACAAAGTTTGAAAACCATTGATACAGTTTCTTAACTTAAGACAACAGCGGTATACTCTGGTCAGGTCACCGCAAATTCTGTTTCTTTTCAGACACTGCATTTGCCTAAAGAAAGCAGCGCGGTAAAATCTGATTTCCCCATGAGGGAAGGGGACACCTGGCTGGCTTAGTCTGTAGAGCATGGGACTCTTCACCTAGGGGTTGTAAATTTGAGCCCCATGTTGGGTATAGGGATTACTTTAAAAAATTAAAATCTTGGGGCGACTAGGTGGCGCAGTCAGTTAAGCATCCAACTCTTGGTTTCAGCTTAGGTCTTGATCTCAGGGCTGTGAGATCGAGCCCCACAGACTTTGCACTCAGCACCAAACTGGCTTGAGAGTCTCTCTCCCTCTCCCTCTGCCCCTCTCCCCTGCAAATCTGAGCTTAGGAGCCGCTCGCTCTCTAAAAAAATAAAATAAAATCTTTAAAAAAAATTTTATAAAAACCACGAGGGGACAAAGGATCTAGGGCTGTTTACATACTTCCAGCGTAACTGGCATCACTTTGTAATATTCTGTTCCTCTATTAGACTGTGAGCCCTGGACCATGTAGTCTGTTCAGCTGTACCCTCATAATACCTGGTAGCTAACTAAGAAAGAGTTTAATAAATTAATTCATCAATAAATCTACAGACAGCTTGATGACTGTCCTAGGAAATGAAAGGCTATTATGTGGAGAAGAAACAGACTTCATGTTGCTTCAGGGGGTACAACCAAGAACACCCAATAGGGGAGTGGCAGATTTTGGTACACTCTAAACTAGCTTTCTAGCAACCAAGACCTGTCTAGTAACAGAGAAGCACATCTGCAATGTAAGGTTGATGATCAGAACAGAGTAGACAAAAGGTAGGGCAGTGGTTGGTCTATGGAGCCTCTAAGAGTTCTTCCAAAGCTCAAAGTATTCTAAGTTACAATACATTTATTCATTCTTTCACATTTCATACATTTAAAGTGACTAGTTACACAAGTCCCTAGTTACACAAGTCCTGGTAGTAAGTAGAGAGGATATCACAGTGTCGTACAAACTCCCAGTGCCCTCGAGGATGTAAAGAATACAAGCACAGGCATCAGTCTGCCAGGGAGGAAGGTAATGGATACAAAAGGAATCAGCAAGGAATGAGATTTCCAGGCAGGAAACAAGAGGGAAGTCAACACAGGCATTCTGAAAGAAAGTCCATCGTTCGAGCACATGTGAGCCACATCTTTAGTGATCCATGGGGGGAGATGGACTGGCACTGCCAAAACAATCTGGAGAAGAAAAGCCTGCAGTATGGCAGTACGGTCTGAGCATAAAGGAAGCAGGCAAGCCCTGGAGTGCTGAAGACCCAGCAGAAATAACCACTAAACTCCAGGGCTTTTAAAAAAAGAAGGCCTTTGAAGGTCATTCAGGCAAACACACTCACACGTTATGGACACTGTCCTGCTTGCGCTGGGTAGAAAGGTTTGTTTACCTTCTCAAATTACATTTTATACACCAAAAACTCTATCATCAATGACTTCTCCCTTGCTTAGTTCTTTTTCTTTTTTTTTTTAAGACTAATAAATCCTTCTCTTATTTTCAAAGAAACCTTTTCGATGATTCTGTTTTGCTTGCAGTTTTCAAAACTGGAAGTTTTAATAACTCAGCTCTTAGCCTAACATTATAATCCCTTAAGTGCTTATACCACTTATCAATAGTACTAAATTAAAAATAGTATAATCTAAGAACGATTTTATATATAGAAGATTGTTAAGAAATGGACTCTCAGAAACAAATTTAAGTCTCAGATCCAAGAAACTATCTCTCACTCAACTTATAAATTGTGAGACTGAGCCACCCAAGAAAATAGAATTAACTACTGAAGAAAAAAAAAAAAATCTAAACCCAAAACCAATGAACAAAACGTAATACACATGAACAATAAACTTAATGTTCTTTGGCCAATCATTTCTCAGTGTCCCTGTAAAACTATTTTAAGGATCTGAAATCTTGCTCTATAAAAAGTAAGTTCCCATCATCCAAACTACACTTAAGAGATTCTATCGCAGTGGTTACTGAAGCATAAACACTAACCTTCAGTTTTTTCCTTCTTTTAGTACAAAAAAATGCTTACCTCTTTTAGATAGAAGTTGAATCTGTGGCCCAAATCCTGAGATATGGGTTTTCAGTTCCAACACTAATTTAAGGTGTAAGGTTAGTGAAGGCCTTTCCTATATTTACCACTCAGCTTAGACTGTAACATGGAGATACAATATTTGACACCCCCACCACCAATGGTCACTTCAAAGGATTTCTAACTTTGGTTAACTTTAGCTGATAGAATATAAAGCTAGGGCTGAAAACTCAGTTAAAAAAATTAAAAAAAAAAAACTTTAAAAATCAGAAATAGTGCTGCTCCATGTTAGCTTACAAACTATGAATTACAGAAACAGATCTGAGTAACAATGAGTAAGAATGGTGCAGTTACACGATTTTACCAAAACGAATAAGCAAACAGATCACAAAAATTTAAATCTTTCTTAGCAAATGGAGAAGATAAATAATATTCACTAACTCTGGGACATTGTGGTTTTGTTTTTATCTATAAGGTCTCTGCATCAATGTTACTATTCTCCCACTCCCTTTATGAGCAAAAGGAGCCCACTGTCCAGGATCCCTCATACCCAGAGCTCAGTAAATGTCACAAATAATAATAGTAATAAAAGCAACAATCTCTAAAGCTAGAATTTATACTGTGGCACCAGAATAGGGTGCAAGGCACATGGCAGCATGAAACTATTTCTCCCTTCTGACTCTTCTGCATCACTGCCTCCCAAAGGACTACAGAATCCTAAAGCTCTCACTGCCACATCTACAAATTAAAGTATCATGATTAAAGAACTCACAGGTTCTACAAACGGTCAGTATTGAGTGAACGAACACTAAAACAAAAAAATTCATCCGTATGCAACAAAACATGGTTCAAAGGACTTCACTTAGTTTTTTTTTTTTTAATCTGAGAAATAAACACAACTATTTTATATATAACATTATGTAATAAGTTAGACTCTGGAAAACCCCATACTCATCCGAGCGGCTCGGAAAATGGAAAGCAAAATTCGATTAGCTCCATTGTACCCAACCAGGCTAACGTGCAAGATCACACACTCATCTTCGTCAGAGCGGCTCTGCCAATACCAAAGAACAACAAAGGCAAGTTGAGGAGGTTGCACAAGGCGTAACTCAGCACTTGTCCGCTTTCCCGGCTTCGGAAAGCAGCTCTCTGCGGGCCTCAGGGACCAAGGGACCCTCTGCAACCCGCCCGGCCCCCAGCTCGGCTAGGCGCCGCTCGCTCAGCTTTTGTCTGGCCCGGCTGGGAGCCCCAGCCGCCCGCCTCCCCGGCACCCCTTCCCTCTGGATCTTTCTCCACACCCATCACTCGCCGATGACTAGTTGTTGTGGGTTTCTCTCCCTCGCCCCCTCCCCTCGCAATCCCCGGCTCTTTTCAAACGCGACTGGGCTGTTCACTGGCTTCTCCCACCCGGCCGGGAAGACTCGGGTCAGGAAGGGGGCCTGGGGTGGGGTCTGGGAGAGGAAAAGAGAGAGGGGCACACAAAGCCGAGCTGACCCCACAGCCGCCCCCTCCTCCCTCTGCAAAGCAGCCTGGGATTAGGGACCTACGGGTAGGATAAACAACCATCCCATCCCGCTCCCCGCCCCGCTCCCACCTAAGGGCCGCCCCCTCCCCCCAAAGTGCACCCAAGAGCGGATGACAGCGCTGGACATCGCCCCCACCCAGACTCAGCGTCCACCACGGCAGGCGAGGGGGCAAAGGCCTCGGAGGGCTGGATCTGAATCTCCTCGCCCTAATCGGGTACTTACAGTCGTATTATTCGCTACTGTTGCCGCTGCGGACCGGAGAGCCGCCGCCTTCTCCTCCACCCCAATGAGGTTAAGCGCTCGGTGCGGGGATTAAAAAAAAAAAAAAAAAAAAATAGAAGCCGAGAGCGCCTGCGCAGTGCGGACTCCCTTTTACCGCCACGGACCAGGCTCGACCATAGAGAGTGCAAACAGAGACCAGAGAGGCGGCTGCTCTCTATGGTAACGCCCCGCGCAGGCGCCGGCCTGGCTGTGCTAGGCTTCGGGAGCTGCAAATCCCAGGAGCTTTTCCCCCTTCCAAGAACGTTAATTGACCCCGATGGGGACCCGTAGGGTAAAAGTTCTTTAAGGGAAGGGTGGCCCAGGTGCTGTCGTGGGTCCCTGGGAAGTTGCGGCAAAACTCAGGCCAGGTCACGAGGGTCGGATGTAAGGGGCCGCGGCGACAGAGCACCACGATGCAGGGAGTGAAATGAATAGAGCTGAGGGGGTCGTCAGGAAAGCCTGGATAAAAGTCGTCCGACCGGGACTTCCTGTGGTCGAGATCTAATAGCTGAGGGAAACGGACTTTTACTTCTGGGTTACGCACATCCCGCCCCCACCATCGGGCGACTAAGAAGAAGGAAATTGTGCCCTGCGACTTTCCGTACCGGGGCTTGCATCCGTTCTCTCTTTCCTTCTCAATTAGGCGCCGACACTTGAGCCGGAAGCACAACCTTTTTAACGGTTCTTGGCTCTTGGAGGGTGGTCGGCCCGTGGTAGCCTCGGAGACTCTTGAGACGGCCGGCCACAACCTCTTTCTTTCTTACTTGAGCGCCTCCACAAATAACGCTGCTTTGGTCTTCCCTCTCGCATTACTTTCGGATGACGCCTGAGAACGTGTTTCGGAGGGTAGAAAGCTGTGCAAATTATCGGGCTGCTTTTAAGGATCCCCAAGGACCCGCAGTTTTGCCGCGTCAAACCCCTATGTTCGCAGGTAATTTGACACCGAGAGCTTTTGTGTGAAATTACACACTGCGTCGACGAAATCACTCCTTGGGAGTGTGAGTTGCCTTCCCTCCATCTCGATGCCCAACGCGTTGAGTTTTCACTGGGAGCTCTTGAATGCCGAGGTGCGTGGCGGTGGAGTGTGTTTGTGTGAGAAGGGTGCAGGAGGGTGGTGAGATAAACGCCCCTGTTACTCAGCTTAGGTGTTACGGCCGGAGAGACGCACGTAAAACAGTAAAGCCCTGTGTTCGCTCCTCTCTGCGGTGCAGGAAAGGGAAAGGACTCTGGTCTGGAGGTGCAGGCATGTCATGGAGGGTGTGACTTCTAGTTCGATCTCGGAAAAGTAACCTGTCTTCGGGGCTAAAGCACAGACAACCGTTTGAAAATGGTTGGGTGGTGATGAAAGCATTCCAGGGAAGAAGCTCCTTGGGGCAAAGGCTATAAAGAAAGTGTTTCGCTGGGAGTACAATGTAGAGAGCAGTAAATTAAAAAGCGTGGGGTGAGGGGAGATACAGGGGAAGAGTGGAAAATAAGGTTTGAAAAATAAGATGGTGGATTTTTTTTTAAACTTTAAATTATGGTGACATACACATAGCACAAAATCTACCGTTTTAACCACTCTTAACTACACAGGCCAGTAAAGTTAAGTACATTTACATTGCTGTGAATCCCCATCCCCAGAACTTTTTCACCTTTTTTTTTTAGATTTCATTTACTCATTTGTCAGAGAAAGAGAGAGAGGCGAGCACAAGCAGGGGGAGTGGCAGGCAGAAGCAGGCTTCCCTCTGGGCAGGGAATCCAATGTGGGGCTCAATCCCAGGACCTTGGGGCCACAACCCTAGCGGAAGGCAGCCACTTAACGGAGTCACCCAGGTATCCCCTCTTTTCATCTTCTAAAACTGCAGTTCTGTACCTATTAAACAATTCCTCATTCCTCACTCCACCGAGTCCTGGCAACCACCATTCTACTTAAGTCTCTAAATTTGACAACTCAGATATAAGTGGAATCATACGGTGTTTGTCTTTCCGTGGCCGGCTTATCTCACTCAGCATAAAATCCTGGAGGTTCTTCAGTGTTGTAACATGTGTCAGAATTTCCTTCGTTTTTAAGGCTGAATTATATTCTATTGTGTTTATATACCAGAGTTGATACTTGGGTTAATTACACCTTTTGATTGTGGTGAGTAATGCTGCTGTGAACAAGGGTAAACACACACCTGTGAGACTGCTTTCAATAGGATGGGGAAGACTTAGAGACCAAAAGAAAGCCAAATTGTTTCAGGTCCTGGACTGGGGATAGTAATATGGTAAAAGAACTGTTTTAGGACACGACCCTGGCGGTTCAATACATACATAGAAGTTCAATACATACTCCATTGGAGGCTTTAAGATATCCCTAGCATTGTACTATTGTTTTATGTAGAGTATTGATGTATCATTGAATGCAGCAAAATAAATATGAGCCAATTGTTATTCACCACATTTACCAGTGAAGAAAATCAAGGTTCTGGTTTACAGATGGGCTGCAGGGAGACTCACCAACCATACACCACAAATGATTAGGAAACAAAACTCCCATGGGAGCTGGACATCCACGGGCACTGACTACTCACTCATTTGGACAAGGATATTGAAAGAAAACAATTCAGATGTTAAGAGTGAGTCTTCAGGGGCGCCTGGGTGGTTCAGTGAGTTAAGCGTCTGTCTTCGGTTCAGGTCATGATCCCCTGGTGCTGGAATCAAGCCCCCCATGTCAGGCTCCCTGCCCAGCAGGTGTCTGCTTCTCCTTCTCCTGCCCCTCTGCCTCCCCTGCTTGTGCTCTCTCTCCCTCTCTCTTGCTTGTGCACTCTCTCTCAAATAAGTAAATTAAATCTTTTTTTTAAAAAAAAATGAGTCTTGACAGGAGAAGGAATATGCTGACATCAAGAACTTTCACAAATTACTAGTATTATAAGGGCTTAACACAGCAAAACTACACTACATGGTCTAAGGTCCCTAAAAGAAACTCTGAGGTTTGATTGCAGGTATGTTTATTGCCCTTAAAAAATAGAAAATGCCAGGGGCACCTGGGTGGCTCAGTTGGTTAAGTGTGTGCCTTTGGCTCAGGTCACCGTTCCAGGTTCCTGGGCTTGAGCCCCAAGTCAGGCTCCCTGCTCAGCAGGGCATCTGTATCTCCCTCTGCCCTTCCCCAGCTCATGCTCTCTCTCTGTCTCTCTGTCTCTGTCTCTGTCTCTCTCTCTCTCTCTCTCTCTTTTTCTCTCTCAAATATATAAAATCTTAAAAGTTTTAAAATCTTAAGATTTTATTTTAAAATCTTAAAATGCCAGGTAAGTATATCTTTGTACGTACTAGAGAAATTAATAAGACACATCATTTCCTACTCAACATTTCATCTTTCATCTTACATTCTCAGAAACCCTATGGGATCATTCAAAGCAATGATCCATTTGGCAGGGGAGGAAATAAATGGCCAGAAAGGAAAACTTATTTGCCCAATGTCACATGCTTATTGGTACCAAGACAGCAGTTGAAATCTGACCCTCTAGAATTCCTCATCTCTGCGTTGGTCTCCTTTACAAAGATGGATATCATAGTCTTGATTGAGTGGACAGTGTTTCTATTCAGTCAGCCTCATCTTCCTCAGGGATACATGCTCAAATGCTTATGAAGCTAGCACCAAACAGTGAAGCAGAGATTATAAGTGCATTTTAAGTAGTGTTCACATGCTTAGAAATACTGTGCACCAATTATGTGCCAAACACTTAGCAAAGCGGGGGTGGGGGGAGGAATCCATGTTCTCGTAGGAGATAGGAAATAAAATAGCAAATGAAGGATAAACTGTGTCAGGTAGGTAAGTGTTATGGGGGGAAAATGAAGCGGTAAGGGAGAAAAAAGGAGTGCTGAGGATAGGGAAAGAGGTTTCTTTTTAAATAGGACAGGTGAGGGTGGGGGCCCACTGAGAAACATACTTTGAGTACAGATCTGATGGAGGTGAGGGAGCAAGAAATGCCCATCTCGAGAGAAGAACATTCCATGTAGAAAGAATGGCAAGTGCAGAAGTCATTGTGAGGGAAGAAGATGTCTACTACATTCTAAGCACAGAAAGGAGGCCAGAGTGACAGAAGTAGAGTGTGGCAGGCAAAAAGTAGGAAATGAGGTCAAAGGTAACAGGGTGCCAAATTGTGTGGGGATTTACAGGGCATTGTAAGAATTTTGGCTTTTACTGAGAGGGGAAGCCACTGGAAGGTTTTGAGCAGAGAGGTAAAATGATTTTACTTCTATTTTTAAAGAATCACCATAGCTTCTGTTTTGAGAGTAAGGGAGTTTTGAGAATAGATTGTAAGGGAGCAAGAGGGATGATTAGGAGGCTCTTGCAGTTCTGCAAGTGAGACCATGGGGGCTTGGGGAAAGTGCAAGCAGTGGAGTGGTAAGGTGTCTGGATATATTCAGCCAAGATGGCACATAGGATTTGATAAATTGGTTGATACAGGGTGTAAGCAAAAGGGGAGTTAAGGGGACTCCCCAGTATTTTTTGACTGAGCAGTTTAAAGAATGGAGCTGCCGTTTACTGAAATGGCAAAGACTGGGAGGAGCAGGATGGGAATGGGAAGCAATAAGAAATTCAGTTTTGGAGATGTTGAGTTTAAAATATCTTTTAAGGGGCACCTGGGTGGCTTAGTTGGTTAAGTGTCCGACTCTTGAGCTCAGCTCAGGTCTTGATGTCAGGGCCATGAGTTTAAGCCCCATATTGGACTCCACACTGGGTATGGAGCCTACTTCAAACAAACAAACAATAAAATACCTATTAAATTAGCACATGGGACTATCAAGACTGTTAGATATTGAATCTGGAGTTCAGAAGAAAGGTCTAGGCTGAATATGTAAATGTGGGAGACACAAGCACCTAGTATTAAAAGCCGTGACATGATCTAGATACTAAGTGTAGACAAAAATTTGAGAACATTATCTAAAGACTGAGCCCTGAAGTACTCTAGCATTTAAGGACTGGGGTGGTAATGAAGCCAGCAAAGGAGACAGAAAGGTCAGCCACTGAAAAAAAGGGAAATCAGGAAAGGAAACAAGGAAGAGCAACCAAGTCAATTGCTAATGGGCTATAATTAACTGTTGGCCA